ATTTGACGATTCCACGGATGAAGATATTTGAAGTTTATCCACCTAACACAATACAATACTAAAAATTTTACTGGTACTATACCACATATTTATGATCATCTCAACCGAATGTATCTCAAGGAAGTTCGTTCGCGTTCGAGTTCTTTGAAATTTTCGAATAAATCGGACTAAAACCTTTAAAGTACACTTCCTTCAGAACTAAGTCGGAATTTTCAAAAATTCAAGGATCGAGTCAATATTTCCGACTAATACAATAATACTGCAACTGTTACTAAGAAGTTACAAATGTGGCACCCAAAGTCCTCATAGACCATAGATCAAAAAGTTGCAAAAAAAACCGGAATATTGTGGAAAAAAAACTCGAAAGTCACTTACTTTTTTATATCGAGAGCCATTGGCGATCGATCGGCACTGCCTCGTTCTTCTAGGACACACACGCCGTTGCCGTAGCACCTCGGCCGCTTAAGCACACAAAAGTCGGCTAAGATGAACAGTACTCGGACTCTCTAGCGGGTTGAGTTGGTGTGTCGATACCATAAATCAATAAATCGATGAGGGTTTTCACGCCATTCACAAGGAACCACGGGATCATAGTTATCAAACGGACAACCGCACTAACGGAAACAATGCATGGATGGCTGAAGAAAAGCACCAGAGGTTACTCGAAAAGGTTGAAAAATAACGCTCTACCTGCGATAGATCATAGGCCGGAACCGATTGATTAGAAGCGATTTCATCTCACCAATTACGTTTAAGATACGCACGGTCGATGACCAATCATATTGGAGCCGTATGGCGATTACGATCTACATTGACTGCCAGTCCCTCTGCCAGTATTTCATTGAAGAAGTGCTATGATTTCTTCGCATCTGTCTCCGCCCATATCTACGCTGACTTTTAATGAGATACGCGCATAGTTACTGCTTCATTTACTTCGGCTGTCATTGAAAATTCCAGAAGAATTATAAATGTAAAAAAACGCAATCTAGCACATTTCAGTGGAAATCGAATGATGCTTTAGTAAGCAGTGGCTCAAGCATGAATTAAATACAGCGTTTTCAGAAGGAAGCACGGAAATCAAAATAGCACAATTTTGATGTAGCGCTCAAAATGATGGCTTTTTTCAACAGTTTCAGCTCTATAGGCCAATGATGACAATTTTGTGAGAATTTTCGAGAAGCATTGGAACGACAGATACGTCCCGAATATTGGGATGCAGCATGAAATAAATAGTTCTTTCAAGCAGAATTAAATTTTCGATCCAATGAATAGACCAAATAGAATTTGTGATGGTTGTGATGGGCAGATGTTTTATTGGTCTAGCCAAGAGTTGCATGCAGGGCACATCATTGGCTGGGGATTTTAGTCGAGTCTGTACGACCCCCCCCCCCAGCCCTCTGTCCTCGAGTGGTCGAGCGGAGGGGGGGGGGCTAAATACACATGTGAAACAGGAAAAGTCCCGAACAGTCAGGCCTTCCCCACGCATTTTCAGATTTTCCTGACTACTGCCCTTTTTTCACAAATTTTCCCGAAAAACGTTCTACTTCTATCCTAACTTTTACTCAAAAATTTTGCGTCGAGTCGAGGGGGGGGGGAGACATATAGTGAGCGCATGGACAGCAGGAAAGATCACCCCCAAAAAGTCAACCCCGGTCAAAACGTAAAATACCATCCCGCTCCCTTCCAACAGCGACCAATACGCCGCCCCCCCCCCTTTTACAGCGTCCCATGCCATGAAGCGAGAAAATCACTATCAAAATAATTTTCCCAACCCAAATACACGGCTGCCCCCTCCTGGAGCGGCCAATATCAACCACCCCCCCCTCCCTTATTCCCTCGCTGGCGCGGCCACATATGACCGCCCCCCCTCCCCTAATTGGGGATTCCCCAAAAACGATGTGCCCTGGTTGCATGTGAAAAAAAAACCATGTGAAATTTTGAGAAACTTTGAAGTCAGTGGTTCACGAGCAGCTAGCCAGAGCACTGGCACAACTTTCTACCCAGAATCTACAGATTTTGAAAAGAATATGTAGTTTTTAACTTACCTCTGCTCCCATGCTCCAGGGGTCCTGCAGACGGTTCACAAAGCGATCGATGCAATGAACTGTTCTAAGTTCATTATTGCCATTATTTATCTTATCATTAATATTTGATTGATTTATGATTTCATTTTTTGAGTTTCTTTTAGCCCCCTTTTCCATTTGACATTGCGATATTTCAAACTTCAATGTCTCACTGTTAGGAATCCAGATCACATCTCTTCTGTTCTTCACTTCAACTCTCTCCCACGGAGAGCTTTGGATAATCCTGTTAAAGGTAGGGACCCAGTAAACTGACTATCACGTCTTTGCCAAGAAACCCGCGGGGGGGGTCCCTGGCCAGGAACGCCGGCGCCACAAAAAACTTAAAGACACGGTTTAGTTGGACCAATATCCCGAGGAGGACCACGCGCTTGTAACGAACTATGGCATTTTACTGCCGTAAAACATGTCGCGTAAGTGTACTGCGGAAGGGTCAACACTGGCCGGAATGCCGGCACATGGCACGGATGCCAGGCTTTTCTCCTGCCAAGCTATGTGGTATTCAAATGGAAAACGAACGCCCCCAGAGGCAGGTTTGATTGAAATGCTAACCGTTAGTGCCGACCTTTTGGTCAATGCGACCTTAAGTGGCGCAGTAAAGGGAAATTAGTGGTGACATCGTCTCTGACCTAGCTTTTCGCGGCAACATAGAGAAGGCCCTACCACACATGGCAGATATCCCAAACAGTTGCCCGGTCAACAAAAGGTGTGCAGGACTCCCAGGTAGGTAGAAACTTGATATAGATTGACTTGATATACTATGATATACTAACCTGATATACTATTGATATACTAACTTGATATACTATGGAAGCTACCTTCTTATCCTTGAGACGGAATGGGTGTGGCATCTGAACATGGCAGAGGGTGGGTTACTCGTGACATATTTGGATCTAGGGCAATCGTCATCTTATTCTATTAGGTTGTTCGAAAAGTAATGCGACACTTTGACCAAATTTTTCGGACTAAATTTTCCGTCACTAGAAGACATCTCCAATCTACAAGGTCACCGCAGTTGATGACCAGCTAGTGCCCTTTGCAACAGCCTCCTCATTTTCATTTCTCCAAGAACGTACGGCAACCATGAAATTAAAAGAACCTCATTCGCGGGAGTTGAGGTCCGGATTTTCAAATTTTTGCTTTTTACAGGAATGTGTAGGGACCAAAGGAGAGTGGTAATCAGAGCTGCTAAATTTTGTAATAACCTGGGTAAACGATCGCATTCCTCTGATGAAATCCACTGATCATTTGGCGTAGGCCTGATCCCCGCATGCGGCTTCTCCGCCATTGCCGAGTAGTAGAGAAAAATTGAGTATTTCTGAATGAATTCAAGCGTGACGTCATCCATATTTTGAAGTCGATTAAGGTGGACTGTGGTCCTTACAACGGTGCTAGTATCCAGTGATACCGCTTTGAAGTCCCACCAATAACACACTGAAATCTTTATCCCATGCACATCTGTTTTTGGCTAAGCAATCTACTTTTCTGTTGAGAGATTCCTGTGCGCCGGGACATGTGGCATGAGGACCCCAACGCTGCGGCTGTCAACCACAAGAATCTCACAAAAGTTGTTCCAGAGGGTACAAGGAAAAGGAAACTCAGGCACGGTCATTCGGTATGACTTGTCAGACGGGTCCAACTCATGAGGCATCCTTCACAAAAAATTTTTCCGACAACCGAGATTGCGGAGAAGCATGGCAGTTGTCAGTCAGGTGGAGCCTAGAGAGGTTGCCAACTTACTGGTGGTTACCTTCGGCTGCGCCTCAAGAAGCTTGAGTAAAGGGCCGTCATTCTGTGCTGGTGGGCGACCTATACATTGCCTAACTACGAGTTAAATAAGTTCAGCCATGCAAAAGCTAACCTCTGCCATGGCAAGCGATATCCTTCCTCAAGACAACGTAGGTGTTAGCTTCCTCGACTACGGCGGAGTGGCCCTACAGGAACTCATAATATGGGATAGGTCGAAAAGTACCTCGATCTCTGAGGGACTTTTAAGCTTTGAAAACTTCCACAAAGTCATGATATACCCATGTGCAGAAACCCCAGAGGACAGTCTCCACTAATCAGGGATAAAACATCCAAAATGATTTTTGATCTTTTTCGTAGACACAATTCAATGCGAAGTGTTCTACTACTTTCGAACTAACCCTAACATGTTCGGAGCAAAGGCACAACGTACTCACCGAAAGCTTTGAACGTCTCACGTCCCAGTTCATGCGGCCAGCCACGCCGCAGCAGCAATCTCACGGGCTTGTAGTAATAATAGAGCACGACCTATTCTGCTATTATGTTCCCTGGCCTCCGTGTACAAACTCACCCGTGCGCGTATGCGGCGCGGTTCCTTCACGGCACCGCGGCGACGGGTAGGCAAAGGGTGATGCTTGCGCCGGTTGCAAACTGTTACTTCACCAGGAGCCGTCATTTATGACCCCAGTACGTGGAAGGAGAGAAGAAAAGAGGATGAAGAGAATAGTGAACGCTCAACATTAAGTGGTGGCATAAGTTCTTGGCCACGGTGTTTGATCCTTCCGTATTTTTCGTTTTGAATAGGATGTGGTAAATCAATATCTAAGTCATCACGTGTTGCGTGACGTGGGCAACTCATCCTTCTCAACATAGCTATCACGTCACACACATGCATTTGGCAGGCCACAATGTCGCACAATTTCCCAACCTGTGACAAAAATGTACCTGCGCCAGTTTTTACTGCGTGGTTTCTCACGCTTCAAATTCACAAAGAAGCTTCACTTTCTCAACTCGATGATCACTGGAGATGAGAAGTGGGTCCTCTACGATAACCTGTGAGGAAGCGGCAGTGGGTCGACAAAGGAGAACAGCCAGAAGCCACCCCAAAGGCCGACCTTCACCCCAAAAAGGTTCTCCTGTCCTGTTGGTGGTCCAGAAGAGGCATGGAGTACTGGGAGCTGCTGGAGAAGGGACAGACGATTGACGCTTCCACATACGTGACCCAGCTGCGGAAATTGAAAGATCACGTCGACCGTACTCGTGGAAGGAATGCGGAAATCTACTTCCACCATGACAACGCCCGACCTCACACTGCAAAGGCGACCCAGGCCGAGCTGGAGAAGTACGGATGGCTGATGGTCGCCCACCCTCCCTACAGCCCTGACCTCGCTCCTTCTGACTACTGGCTGTTCAGCCACCTGCAGCGCTCTCTGGACGGAAAAAAGTTCGAAACAAAGGATCAGGTCAGAAAGGCACTCGACGATATTCCAACTGCAAAATTCGTGCCAAGAACTTATGCACCAACCTTAAATAGTTAGTGGTAATGGTGAGCAGAGAATACAGAAAAGTCGAGAATCAGAGCGTATTATTTCAGTCAACAGCGGAACTGGCAGAATGATTCCCTTCGAATGGGACGTGACGTTATAGCGCTATAAGGTCATAACCGATTGTTGGTAGTTTTCCAAACCTCGGCTTGATTTTTCGTGAAAAACTGCTTGCGTCGTTCTCACAATCGAAGGGAACTACGCCGCCAGCTCTGCTCAAATTCATTTTAGTAATCGTGACACTCGATTTTGTGGCCTCCTACTAACTCACATATGCACCCACTATCTATTCAACTCTTTCTCTCTCTACTTTTCCCTCTTCTTCCTTCCACAGAGAAGAGGCTAAGGAGCACAGCGCCGGGGACGCGGGCCATCGCCTTTTTCTC